TGTCTAGAACAAAGTCCAGGCTGTGAAGCAGAAGTCACATCAAAGGCATGGTTGAATTGTTGTTGTTGTTTAGTCGTTTAGTCGTGTCCGACTCTTCGTGACCCCATCGACCAGAGCACGCCAGGCACTCCTGTCTTCCACTGCCTCCCGCAGTTTGGTCAGACTCATGTTTGTAGCTTCGAGAATACTGTCCAACCATCTCGTCCTCTGTCGTCCCCTTCTCCTTGTGCCCTCCATCTTTCCCAACATCAGGGTCTTTTCCAGGGAGTCTTCTCTTCTCATGAGGTGGCCAAACTATTGGAGCCTCAGCTTCAGGATCTGTCCTTCCAGTGAGCACTCAGGGCTGATTTCCTTAAGAATGGATACGTTTGATCTTCTTACAGTCCATGGGACTCTCAAGAGTCTCTTCCAACACCATAATTCAAAAGCATCAATTCTTCGGCGATCAGCCTTCTTTATGGTCCAGCTCTCACTTCCATACATCACTACTGGGAAAACCATGGCTTTAACTATATGGACCTTTGTTGGCAAGGTGATGTCTCTGCTTTTTAAGATGCTGTCTAGGTTTGCCATCGCCTTTCTCCCAAGGAGCAGGCGTCTTTTAATTTCGTGACTGCTGTCACCATCTGCAGTGATCATGGAGCCACATGGTTGAATAGAAAAGTCTATTTTGGCATTAGGAAATGAGAGGAAGCTCATTCACTTTACTGTTTACAATTATTATTATTATTATTATTATTATTATTACCCCACCCATCTGGTTCTTTAGGGCAAATAATAATAATAATTTATTTATTTATAACCTGCCCATCTGGCTGGGTTTCCCCAGCCACTCTGGGTGGCTCCCAACAAAATACAAAAAAAATGATAAATTTCAAACATTAAAAACTTCCCTAAACAGGGCTGCCTTCAGATGTCTTCTAAAAGTCAGATAGTTGTTTATTTCCTTGACATCTGATGGGAGTGTGTTCCACAGGGTGGGCGCCACTACTGACAAGGCCCTCTGCCTGGTTCCCTGTAACCTCACTTCTCGTAGTGAACATACCTAATTTACAGCAAAATACTGCTCTCCTCTGAAATGTGCACTTCTGTACATTTGATGATGCAATCATTCACACCTTTGGATGAATGGCTGTCTTCCCTCCTTCTGTCATAAAGTGTTGTACCCCTAGAACTTCACAGTGCTTGGAGAAGTCAGGGGAAGTGCAATAGCATGTCCTAGACCCTTTGATAAAATTGCATTTCTTTAAACACTGCATAGCCCACTGTGTGGTTATTATGACAGTAAGAGAAAGAACAATGGGGACCAGTACTAGCATTTATGTGATGCTACAGTGAGAATCAGGATGCATGGATTTATGAGAAGTTATTATCTTTATCTTTATTAGAATCAGGATGCATGGATTTATGAGAAGTTATTATCTTTATAATTATCATCAGCATTATTATATTTAATATTTATTTATTCCTTGTCCTTTTTCCCTGATGGAATTCAAAATCACTTACAGATAAAAATAAGAACTGCTAAAAATATACTGGGGTGGGGGGATAATTAGAGAACTATTAAGCATTAAATGGTAAAATTAAAAATATATATACATATACAACATCTATTAAAACCATAGAAATAATTACAAAACAACAACAACACAGCACCAGTCCTTTCATTAAAAACAGTCGGTTCCCAAAAGCCTGTTGGAACAAGAAATTCTTCACTTGCCAGTGGAAGGAAAACAAGGAGGAAGCCAGGCTAGCTTCTCCAGGGAGGGAGTTTCAAAGTCTGGGAGCAGCCACCAAAAAGACCCTGCTTATAGGAGTAAGCCACTGGAGTTTTGTTTTCTTTTGTTTTTCTTTTTGTAAAGTACACTAATACCAGGATGTTTTATGATTTTAAAACAGGATGGGAAAAACCACTGGTCAGATTGTAAAAAGAAAAGAGGAGAGGATAGCCGGGACTTTACAAACTCACTAAAAAAAAAACAAAAGATGAAGAAAAGGAGAAGGAACAGCAGTACAGTGGTACCTCGGGTTACATACACTTCAGGTTACATACGCTTCGGGTTACAGACTCCGCTAACCCAGAAATAGTGCTTCAGGTTAAGAACTTTGCTTCAGGATGAGAACAGAAATCGTGCTCCGGCGGCGCGGCAGCAGCAGGAGGCCCCATTAGCTAAAGTGGTGCTTCAGGTTAAGAACAGTTTCAGGTTAAATACGGACCTCCAGAACGAATTACATACTTAACCCGAGGTACCACTGTATTTGAAAACAACAGAAAATAGTAAAACACATCACACCACTCCACCTGGAATGGAATGGCAGCCTTCCCTTGTTCCTCTCACTCCTCATCTGAAGTTGCGTCTGTTCTCCAGTAGCACTGTCAGTTTGGTCTGTGAAAACGACATGGCCCTTTAAATGGTCAGTTTCGTTTTAAAATCTCCAGCTCTTCACAAATAAAAGAGAAATCCCTTGATAAAATTAGGCAAAAGCCAGACATCAGAAGAAAGAGAGATCTCAGAGCAGGACTCTGGGGACAGGTATCAAGCATCCGAGTGAGCAGGCATATATACTGTGTGAGCAGCTGATATATCCTGTTAAATGTCAGTTTCATTAAAGGTCACTGGCTGTATTGATTTCCGAAAAGTTTTAACATAACTGACTCTGTCAAGCAATTCTTTCACATGTTGGATCAGAGAGCAAAATCATTTTAACGCAGATGGGAAAAGCCAGGTGTGGGATTCAATTTGCTACTAATAGTCTAAAAATATTAAAGCATCACCCAGGTGCTGTAATTTCTAGGGATGCAATTAAAAGTGTAGCTTCTAAAATAATGGCAGAGAGAAGATATATATATATATATATATGGTCTGCACAAGGCTTTTCAATGTACATGAAGGCTCTTTAAGCCTTCCTTTGAACAAACCATGTTTCCAACAGGAAATATCCAGTTAAGCATAGTTTCCCATTTTGTGTGAACCAGTAAACTATGGTTACCCAGTTCCCTGACTTGTTCCAACACTGACTTGTTCCAAAACTAGTTACCGTTCTTCCAAACTTGTACAAAACTGGAAACAATGGTTAATTAGATTCTTCCTGGCTTGATTGTTCTGAATCAAGAAGGGTTGGGCAAGGGAGCTATGTGTCCTCCTCAGACCATGTGTACTGCTAAATACACAGCATGGAAACTTCCACTGTAGCTAATAAAAGGAGTTGCAGAGACCTAACAGACTGATAACTTGGAAAGTATCTCTGTTACTCTGTCATGAGGTGTTTAACTTTCAATCACATGAGTAGTACAGTATTCAGTTGCAAATCTCCAATTTGTTTGAGTTAGTCTTTGTTCTCTTTCTCAAACACTGGAGAAGAAATGATGTGTGCTAATGATGCTCTCCAGGCGGAACACATCCTCAGGATGATAGTATGTCATCTGCATACTATCCCTTGCTTTTTCCTGTAGGACTAATTGCAGTTGTTATCAATCGTCAATTGAGCCAGTCACCCATTTCCTACTACCTTCCTGAGAAATACCCCACCCCACCCTCCCACTATATATAAGGGTCTGGTGACTTCTATTTCAGTGTATCTGAAGAAGTGTGCCTGCACACAAAAGCTCATACCTAGAACAAACTTAGTTGGTCTCTAAGGTGCTAGTAGACTATTTTTTAATTTATTTCAACTGCGTCAGACCAACACGGCTACCTACCTGAATCTAACATCCTCAGGCTGTAACTGAGGCTGTGGAAGAGACAGAGTTTTGTTTTTAGCTCTGTTTGAAGTAATTTTATAGCAAACCCTAAGATGCTGAACCTGTGCTTGGACAAGCACATAATATTATGCAACTATTTGAATGTAACACTATTGTTTTGAATGTCTGTTTTGGAACAAGTTCTGTTAGTAAAGCTTTGGAACCACATTTTTGGATGGGACAATTTTTATCTCAAGAAGAGTCAGTTTTTATTAATCCTATTGCTTCCATATGCACAATATGAAACCACCATAAACAGTAGCAAGAGAAAGCAAGGTTTAAGCCAAACTGAGATCAGAAACAAGCTTCCAAATGTATAATCCAGAGGCAATGTCAATAATCAGGGGTCCAAAGGTCAGCAATTGAAGAGATGCAGTAGAAAAGAGGGGAAAAGAAAAGAGCTTTAGAGCCTTCTAAAGAGTGTTTGTGCTTGAGGTTTAACCATTGTGATTGCTTTTTGCTGGCCACACCCTTAGCCCTTTCTGTTAATAAGAGGCGGTACAAGAGCCCCTTAAAGCTATATTGAAGTTAAATGGCGGAACAGAGATCATGAAGAGTTCAGCTAGGCCTCTTGATTTTCCCAGGGTTAACAACACTGCAAGAGCTGTTATAGCTAGACTTCATTGCCTTCAGATGCTTCCACAGCTTTTAAGCCTAATAGATAGGAGGTATGGTTTCTTAAGTAATTTCATTCCTTATTGTGGAAAGCTCTAGAATTCACTTTGACTAGAAAATGGAAGTTGGGGGTTATTGGGCAATAATCGTTTCAGTTCATTGCACTGAAGAAAAGCACACCATTGGGGTGACTGCTTCACGAGCTCTTCTTTGATATAAAGAGCCATATCTGAATGTTGCATTCGAGAATTGGCTGCTGCAAAAGGTAGCACATAATTCTTCCTTCTCTGGTTGCTGCAGTCCTTTTCCACACTGTCACAAGTACACATAAGCTTAGTCAGTGTTTGTCTGTCAGGTGTGCTTGGGAATCTGTGTACTGAAGAGTATTGCAGTTGTTGACCCAGCAGGAACCTTCTAAATCCATAGTCCTAAAAGCTCTGTGGCAAGTGAACACAGGATTGTGCCCGCATACATGCACACCACAGCACATTTTCCAGACGTTTCAGGTCCTGCTTAGGTGGCCAGTATGAGAACAGGATGTTAGACTAGATGGGCCATTGGCCCAATTTAGCAGGAGCTTAGAATCATAGAATTGTAAAGTTGGAAGGGACCATCTAATCCAACCCCTTGCAATGCAAAAATCTTTTGCCAAACATGGGGCTCAAACCCACAACCCTGAGATTAAGAGTCTCATGCACTACGAACTGAACTATCCCAAACCCAAGTGACGATGGAAAAAAATGGTTCTTTATGACATGTTTAAGGAAACCGCACCCACTTCATTCCTTGATCATTCTTTGGGGTATACTTTCCATAGCTGGGACATGCTGGTTCACATATGGTTCTGTGATGAAAATACTGATATTTGTGCTGGTGCTCCTCTTCACCTCCCAGGTGAGGGGACATGATAATGCGATTGCTGTAGGCACATGTTCCAGCCAGAGGTCTGCAGCTGGCATGTCTCTTCCATGTAACTTTCCCCATTTCTCCTTCTTCTTCTTCACAGAAAATCCATTTGCTCAAGCTTTTGTGATGGAAGGAAGTAATTTTTACCCTCTCCAGCCTGCAGAGCTTTAATAATTTTACAGCAGCAATAAGATTACTTGGAGATCAATCTTCCCCAGCTCTGGTGATATCGCTCGTGCAATGCATCAGCCATAATGCTTGTAAAGTCTGCTTCTGATTTAAACAACTGGATGAAATGGCACCAGATGTTTCAGCAAAAAAACCAACATATGAGTTTTTAATGGGAGGGATCATAGATCAGTCAGGAGGGTTCATTGCAATGATTGGATTATCGCAGCATAAGTCCATGAAACCCAAATCTTCCACTGCTACGTATATCTGAAATACTTGCATTTTCAGTGAAGGGGAGCCTTTTCTTCATTTAGAATCAAGAGGATTTCTACTAAATTACTTGAAAGGTCAGCTTTAAAATTAAAGCCATAATTTTATTGGACTGCTTCTCTCCAGTGGACATAACCATGTTTCTTTACCGTATCTGTATTATTGGATTTCTTAAATCACACTTCAGTGGTTTCCAGAAACACACATAAGAAATTGTCAAATGCCAACAACGACTCAAACAATAACACAGAGATATTGAAGAACTGTAGTTAGCAAGTTACCTTTTGTGAAACCCCACTGGGCAGAAGATTTGAGGGAACACCTGAAGAACTCAGCAGTTTCATTCTCTGTGTTATTCATACTCAGTGATTTAACTAACCACTGCCTCAAATAAGTCATAGGATCTAAGCTTAATCAGCTTTATTTTGTCCTCTTGAGATATGGATTCTCTGTATGACATTCAGAGTTGGTGGTGCCACTGTTGCTTGCTGTCTGGTTGGCCTCGACTCATGACCACTGGTGGAGGAAGGGGGTGTGGGGGTGCGGTCCGCCCCTGATGTCATCCCTGAGGGGGGGTTACATCGCCACAGGCGGAGCCCCCTTGGGGTGCTCACTGCTTAACACGCCTCCCCCGTGCTCACCACCCTGCCCCCAAGGGTAGCTCATCCCACCCCCGGGAGCACAGCATGTGTGCCGCTCTGGGTGCCAGAGCAGCTAGCTCCGCCTCTGCCCACGACTAGGGATGTAAGAAGCTATTGTTTTCCAAGTCATCCTGTCTTGTTTCTGCTCTGCTGCATTTTGCCTTCTGCCCAGCACTGTGTTATCCGTCAGGCTGCCCACAGTGACCATATTCCATAACTTATGTAACTTACATAATTAAATATATGAGTTATATTGTCACTACATCATTCCAACCCATTCATTTCAATGCTAAGGAAGCACAGTGCAAATGGAAGTAGAGGGTGGGGAACATAATACATTGTGCATTGTGTCTGGACAGAAAGAAACAACAGTAGGGAATACCAATCATATTCACTGGATTGTTTTCCATTCTTGTTTTATCTTAAACCGAGCAGTGCATAAATTTTATGAAATAAAATAAAAGTTACGAAATAAACAAAGCAGTGTCTGCCCATGAAGGGTTGACAACACTAGTGGCAGGAAAGGTATTGTGAGGTGAGGACAAAAGCTGGGCCATGACAGATACAAAGGCCAACATCAAGAAGGGGAGCTTTTTCCAGGACAACTGATTACCAAGTTAAAACTCAGAATGGTCTGAAGCAAAGAATAACAGGAGCAGAGAAGTGGGAGACATGAAAGAAGAATAACAAAACTCCCTCCCCTCCAGACAGCAGAACTTTTTGGGGAGGGGAGATTTTGGGCCCCAGAACTGGGAGTCTGTTTCCATAGAGATCCTCTTCTTCCACCACGGCTTATGAAATGGTGGGTGGATGAGACGAATCAGCTGTCCGTCAAATGGGTTGCCTCCAGGCTGTCAGTATTTTGCAGGAAGGAAAGAACAGCTTATCTGGAAATTTAGGTTTGTGTAATTAAAGTGGGTTAAAGTGCTCTGTCACCCTCATGTAACAAATCCACAGTTTCTATTTAAACAAACAAACAGACTTTCTGTGGTTAGGAAAGGCATTGAGAAATGTGGGGTGAGCGAATGATTAATGGGAAGATGTATAAACACCACACAAGCAAATAAAGAGGAATACTCATTTTCGTAACACACACCACACACCCCGGAAACAAATCAAAACAGATCCTCAATAAAGATGAGACATAGTCTAACATCCACATTAGCTCTATGCAAGCAAATAAGGGAGAATGCTTAGTGAACAGGACATCTGAAGGAGCCCTTAGTGGAGCTGAAAGATGCTATGAGGCATCTGGGTTTCAAATGTTGCTTTAAGCCATTGCTTATAGAGAGCCTGTCTTAAGCAGAAATATAAAACTTGTTATTTTACTGCTCCAAGAATGATACACACAGATGTCACAATTAAACAATATACTGTTTAATTTACATCTTTGCCTCCTTCTGTAGATCACTGTCCCACAGTTTTCCAGTGTCCATTTCACAGGGCGCTCTTCTGACTTTATATCCGTTGCTCAGTTATCAGGTGCTACTGCAGATAAAGAACCATAAAGGACCATAAAGAAGGCTGATCACCAAAGAATTGATGCTTTTGAATTAAGGTGCTGGAGGAGACTCTTGAGAGTCCCATGGACTGCAAGAAGATCAAACGTATCCATTCTTAAGGAAATCAGCCCTGAGTGCTCACTGGAAGGACAGATCCTGAGCTGAGGCTCCAATAGTTTGGCCACCTCATGAGAAGAGAAGACTCCCTGGAAAAGACCCTGATGGTGGGAAAGACTGAGGGCACAAGGAGAAGGGGACGACAGAGGACAAGATGGTTGGACAGTGTTCTCGAAGCTACCAGCATAAGTTTGACCAAACTGCGGGAGGCAGTGCAAGACAGGAGTGCCTGACGTGCTCTGGTCCATGGGGTCACAAAGAGTCGGACACGACAAAACAACTAAACAACTGCAGATAAGAGGGTTCAATTAAATGCATAGCCTGACTGCTGCTAGCAGTATCTCAGCTATGTATTATGACTGAAACCCAAATTCGAGAGAGCTACCTGCCCAAACTCATGCACTCCTCACAGATCACAATGGAGAGAATTTGGATATTCTGGCAGCAGAAGCACCGCTATTCAGTTGTGAGTCAGCTGCAGCTCCTTCTCTACTCAGTCTCAGTCATCTGTCCTCCCACTTACCTGACTCACTCTCACACAGCCTAAGGCAACTCCCATCTGATTGACTGATGGCGCTCTAGTAGCCTTCAGGCAACTATCAATCTTGCATTTAAATCTATGCACATTAGAAAATGGCAATCATTTGGCTAAAAATCGTGTTTTGGAGTCATCTGGAAAACAGTGAAACATTACCCTTCCATTGCAAAGCCAATTACCTGGCTCTCTGCAGAGAATGGTGTCTTTAAAACTAATGCATGGGGATAAATAGTCTCAATCTCCCAACAGTAAAGTGATTATGTGTCATGCAGATGTCTGAGTTTTGCAGGTAAATTGTGGTTTTTGAAATAAAAAGCAAATAAAGAAAATGATGGGGCAAGCGCTGTAAGTGGGAAAGTATAATTAGAACTATGTTTTGAATAATAGGTAATCATGCATAAAAAGGGCTACCTAGGACCACCAGTGTAAATAAATGTTCCAAAGTCAAATAATGCATATTTACTTTATAGTTTTAGAAAGTGGATGGGATAGACTAAAAAAGATAGGTGCAAAACAGGTCTATGCTTGCAATGACTAAATGACATGTAAGAAAATATTATTATTTTTCACAAGACATTTTTACTAGGATGGGATGTTGTTCAATCTTTCCATTGCCAAGATTTCTTTTTACCATCTCTTTTGCTAGATATCCTGTTTTTCACACAATATTTTCATGGGCTTATTCACAACATTTATTTATGGTGCGCATTCGTCAGATTGTTTCTCCAGATAAATTTGCACATGTGTAATAGACGCTAAAAGCTTTTTGCTGTAGCTTTTTCCTTCCCATCTTGGCTGGCAGTAGCTTAGGAATGAGCTCCTCAAAATGTTGGCTATGCAAGCAAGCCAGGTGTAACTTGTCCTGTCCACAAGGTTCAATAAGAAACATGTATACTGTTGTTAAATATTGCCAGTTAACTTTCCTAATGGCATACTGGGACATTTGTACATGAACATTAACTACAGTAGGTATTAGACTAAGAGTTACTCATACAGGATTGTAGCCAACTACTGTAAGTTCGACTTGGAATAGACCTATTGCAATTCATGGAACCCAAGTTATTCATGTCCACTAACTTCAATGGGTCTACTCTGAAGAGGAATAGCCTCTTGACAGCAGACACTGCTGTATACTGGGAGGTGTTAAGCATGAGGCTCCCAATTTGGTGCTTCCAGCAGTGCACTCATGCAGCCCTGATCTCAGGATTGTTGCATAGATTACCCTGGAAAAAGGAGAATACATATAGTAATGAGGCAACAGCCACCATTTGTAACAGTATTCTTGGCTTCAATACAGTAGATTGCCATGTGCAACTGCCAGGAAAAAAACAAGCTAGGTACTTGTCCCAGCAGCAGATCATCATCTGCCAATTGCCTGAATGTCACCTTAGGGTAAGTCCATGCAGCTGCAGTAGCAGCACCAACTTGGAATGAATGCAGCCCAAATTGAGTTGGATCCTTTCCGATGGCTAACAATGGGCAACGAAGGATCACCCAGAACTGAAACTGTGTGAAGGGTAAACCCATCTTCATGAACAAAATAATAGCCAGCTAATGGAATGGCTTGCTGCACTTCTCTTTGCCAAGATCCATCACTAAGGGGGGGGAGCATCCAAACTGGACCAAGGAAAGCACCTGAAGCTGGCATCTGAAAATACTCGATCTAAAAGCAAGAGAAGGGACCAGCAATGCTGTTTGGCAAGTCTGGCACATGTCTCAGCACAAAAAGAACATTGTAATGTAGCTACTGCAACACAAACACTTGGATCAAGCACATCACCCTGATGTCAGATCACTGGGGGGCCTGGGTGCAGAGGCTTGGAGGATGGAGATCCAGACTTCAGGGAGGGTCCAAGTCTTCCACGCTTCTACCTCCTTTGCCTTCTCCTGTCACTCAGGGGCTAGCAGTAACCCTAATGCCAAGCTGGCTGGGTCTCAGCTTTCATCACCACAGATGCAGGGCATCCAACCCAAAGGAGTGCTCACTTACTTGCCCAGTCCACTTGCCACACTAAAGCTATTGAAAAGGAAGGTACAGAGGGCATATTGCTTGTAAGCCCAATCTCCTAGCTCACACCTAGCCATGTATTTAGGATACCTGCTGATTCTTGTAACATGTCTTACATATTTTACAATCTAATCTGGAAGTTAAAGCCATTGCCAGGACCAGAGATGTGAGCTCAGGTTCTTCATCAGATAGAAAGGGGCAGGATGAAAATAGTACACCATGTCATATTTTGCTCAAATGAAGTATTGACTATAAAATCTCTTTATGGACCAGGAGAAAAGAACACAGGTCTTCCCTGTTGTTTGAAGACAATCCCAAAGAATTTTGCTCTCCTTATGCATTCATTCAACATGAAAAATAACATGATTTCCATGATGTACAATAGATAGTACTCCCAGTGGCAGATCTCAGTAGGATTAGATGTAGGGTATTCACTTAGCACTTCTTTTTATTCCTAAAGGTCAACGAAACAATTGTTTTGCTCCAGGCATTTTATGAAATTACCCAAGTGAAACAGCCATTTTGTCAATGTAATCTTTTCCCCAGAACTGTGACTGTTGCTAGTCACCGCCTTTTCAAGTCAAGGAAAAGGCAGCATATCTAATCTTTCTGAAACATGTTTGATTTTACTACAAACTGGCAAGGGATGGATCCAGTGCCATTAGGCACCTGCAGCAGTGCTGTGAGTGTTACAACATGCTTTTTATTCAACAGGTCCCAGGCTCAGTCGTATCCATCTCCAGGCTCCTGTCTGAAACCCTGGAGAACTGCTTCCAATCAGTATAAGCAATACTGAGCTAGATGGACCAATGGGCTGGCTTGAAATAAGGCAGCTTCCTATGTTGCTTTACATCACAGATTTTGCACCCAGAGATTTTAGTAAACTGACCTTAAGGGTGTGTGATATTCAAAGTGAATGTCTTAAAAAAATTATATATGTGACCACTTACTACATTTCAATACCGTTGTACGGAATTTTCTTTTTATCATATAAGCAGAGTTTGTTTTATATGGTACAATGACCAAGAGCAATGCCTCTATGCCTTCCACATGCTCTGCGTCAGGAAGAATTTGGGCATCACATGCAGGGCCGGATTTAGCTTTGATGAGGCCCTAAGCTACTGAAGGTAATGGAGCCCTTTATATGTCCAGCTGTCCTTTGTCAACAACAAATTGTCGCTGTTTTTTGTGTTGGATATATGCTATATGGTAATTTATGGACCTAATAGGTATCTAAAGCCATTTGCACATGCAGAATGTTGGCACCCTATATATAGAAATGAGCAAACCAGTGATATCTTAGGGAACAGGCTTGCAGGCTGGGCCCATTACTTACATCATAGGAGCCTACACAACACAACACAACACAACACAACACAACACAACACAACACAACACAACACAACACAACACACTGTTGCTGTATGTGGATTTTATTTTATTTGTTTTTTATCTTATATTTTGGAAATGTACATCCAGTTTCTTTTTTCTTTAATTTTTTTGGGGGGGCCACCTAAGCTATAGCTTGTTTAGCTTATATGTAAATCTGGCACTGATCACATAGCAGGACAGAGTCTCAAACAAAGATGTGTTCTCCCAAGCCCACATTCCCAGCATGTTCACGAATTTTGGGTATCACATGGCAGGACAGAATTCCAAACAAAGATGTGCTCTCCCCAAGCTCACACTCCTGTCTCAGTGATATCTATGCTGGCTTGGTCAGACTAGAAGATGGCAGGATCCCCAAGGATGTGTTCTTTGGGGAGCTGGCTTCCTGCACCAGGTCAATTGGCAGACCAACTTTGTGTTACAAAGATGTCTGAAAACATGACATGGAGGCTGGCAATACCAACCCTGCAATGTGGGAATTCTTGCAGATGACTGCAAAGCCTGGAGACAGGCAGTCGAGTCATGTATTCATAGCAGGATGAATGACCGCTGGGAGGAGCATAGAGAGAAGAAATGCCATGGCGCATGTGCCGCAGAACAACTGGACGCCTTCATCTGCCCCAGCTGCAACAAAACATCTCTCTCCTATATTGGTCTCTACAGTCACAGCTGCAACCTTCCAACAGTTTGACCTCACCCCCAAAGACGCAGTCCTTCATTATCTCCTGAGGCAGATGGATGCCAACAACAACAACAAAAAGTTTTATATGGTATGGCTATTCTCTATAATGGTTTGTTGACTTCTAGTCATCCCTCCACTTTCCTCTGAATCCTCATAGATTAATTATTTTATTTAATCCAATAGCTTCCATGCAGAAAACTCATTTTTTTCTGTTTTTCTGTTTGTTCATTCAAAAAACAACAACGACCAGACCTCAGATTTATTGATTCGCCATCTATAGGACCAAGAACAGTTATCTCAGAGTCTTCCAAGTGAGTCAAAGTTGTCCTTCCTCTAAATGCCAAGATATTTATGTACCTACTTGTTTGACAAATGTTAGCACAGTTTTACCATATTCCATATTTTAATTTGGCTGTAGCAGCAAATTCTTGAATTTATGATCTAAGCATAACGGTCATGGGGGGTGGAATCTTGTTTTAACATCATTTATATTGCAGCGTTTAGCTGGTCCAAAATGGTGGCTAGACCGTTGATGGAGACAGATTACCAGCAGCACATAACATTTAAAAGTTTGTGTCGGTTGCCCAGGAGAGGTCTAAGCTTCTTCTATTGATTTAAAGGGCACTTAGCAACTTGGGTCCAGGATAAGTGTGGCAGCCAATCAGAAGTCATACTTCGGTTTTCAAACGTTTTGGAAGTCGGACTTCTGGAACAGATTCTGTTCAACTTCCAAGGTATGGCTGTACTGAAGAGGACGTAAATGCAGAGTACATCCCCCACTTTGGCCTGTGGATGAGATTGGCACACAAGAAGCAGGGTTTCCTCACCACCACCTACCCTGCTCTGTTACTCAGGGAAGGAGGGTTCACCATAGCACGATGGTGCCTAAATTAGCAGATAGGTTAGTCATAATAGCAGAGGAGTGTGGGAAGTCAGCTCCAAACAGACTCCTACCCCACCCCACTTAAAGATGAGCAACAGAAACAAGCAATAAATCATACTGCCTTACATTCCAATTTGGGAACCAAAAGCCTGGCCAACAGGAATGCCTTAGCCTGGCACCTGAAACGTGGGCGGCAGGCTTGTTTCCCTGAGCTAGAGAAGGGAGAACATAAGAACACAAGGAAAGCCTCCTGTATCAAGTAGTCTCGGCGAGGGTAAAATCAGGTGCAGCAGGTGGGCTGGAGGTTGGAGTCAGATGGCATGGTTGGGGAGTAAATTGAGACATGAGAGGAATACAAAATTAGGCAAAATGCCTATGGAGGATGAGAGACATGACATGAAAATAATAATTAAAATTCCCTTATCAATCCTTATCCACCACACCACCCTCAAACTTTATTTTTAAAAAAAGATTTTTTAAAAATGCTCAATAAATGTAAGTTATCAAAAGACAACAGGAATGAGTTGTCCTTTCAAGTTGAGTGAGGCAATCAGTCTTTCGTGGACAAGGAAAAAAGATTGCAGGAAGTCGTGATTTTTGAGGGAAGTGTAAGGTAAAGAAAATAACTTTGTTTTGCCAAGAATAAAGATACCGTCAAGCCCTGGAAATGCAGTAGCACCTGTGGAGATGGCAGCCAAGAATGATTAACATTAGCAGAACTTAAGTTGTGCAATCAATTGCAAAGCGAGTTTTTGACTGGGGTGGGGGGAGGGAGGAGACAGTCAAAGTCACTTACATCAACTTCTCAATAAATGATTTCAAGTTTTGTTATAAGGCACTTGGAGAACTGAATGACTAAACGAGCTGCTTTTACACAAGGTAATTCCAAAAACTACCGAAATTGCAGCAAGTCTAGTCCTTACTCACCAATCATTGGCCCACAAATGGGGAACCTACAGCCCTACAGCCTTCACTGGACTCCCATCAATCCCAGCCACCATCATCACCGTCACCATCATCATAATTGTATTGTTTATATGCCGCCCATCTGACTGGGTTGCCTCAGCCACTGGTCAGGGATCATGGGAGTTGTAATCCAATGCCTGAAGGGGCAGCTGCTCTAAGACTATCACAAAAGATACTGTCCTGTTGGATGACATCTGATCAACAGTACCCACAGATTATTATTTATCATTACAATTATTATTTAGGAGTCACTTTACTCATTAAAAATAACTCAAAGAGACTTGCAAAGACTTACATCCCCCTGATTCTCAGAAGCCTGTGTGTTCATAGCCCTACCTGCCCTCAAAACCAGCAGAGAAACCAGCTCGGATCATTGGGTAACCTCAAACGGATCATCACTACATATCTTATTCTTTCTTTTGCATTTGGGGGATTTTCTCCCTGAGGCTCCTAGCTGCATGGGGGTAGGGTGATTCCTTGGAAAAGATAAACCTCCCCTCCCTACATGCAGTATTCCCTGTGTGTCCCCACTCCCAGTATGCCTGTAATTCAGGAAGGAAAAGCAAGACCTATAGCTTCATGCTACGTATCTGGTGGACATCTACTTTACCTAGTACTCTCTGAGAATCTTCAAGCTTCTAAAAAAAAACCCGTCCTGGAAACCAGCCCAGTTTGGTGTCTGCAACAGTGAGGCATGAAGGAGGGCTTTTTCGTTTTTGTAGAGGAAGATTTGTGTACTTGATGCTGTAATTTTCTTTTTATCAGAAGATGAGGCCAGGCCAGGCACCTCCACTGTCCTCTGGCATCATATCAGTTAACAGCCAGGCCAAAAACAGAGCAAGAGCTCTCTCACACACACAAAAAGGTCTGTTTTCTCTCTGACATGGGAGGTGTCAGGGCTCAGCTGCAATATTGATGGGAGAAAGAAAATCCATTTAGCTATCTTGTTGTTCCTAAAGCTTCCTAACTACAAGAACAGTTCACCAACTGAATAAGCTGCCTATGAAGGTGATATTATATGATCTATCAGACCCCTTCCTTCTCTAATCCAGCAAGTTGTGTTTTATAGCCTCTGAAAAATCTGATATATGTAGTGCCTACGAGGCTGTTGAAAAGCAACAGACTTGGAATTGGTATCTCTTCCCCGTCTGATGTTGATCTATTCATTACTATTATTCTTCCCACAGTAGACCCTTCTATCTCATATTTCTGAAGCTTTCTTAAATGAGGTCATATGGGATTAGGTCAAAAACCTTTCTGTCCAGATATATCATCTCAGCTGCATTTACCTCTGTGTTAGACTGCTCTTGGCTCTTTACAAAGGCAAGAAATATCACTTGATTTTCATTTTAAAAGCAAGGAACACTTATTCATCATTCTGAATAAGGGTTCTAGATTACCAAAAGGCATCCAGACAGTTAGTTCTGGATGTCTTTTTAATTTTTAATTTTATTAGATAACTGTATGGACTGTAGTCCATGAAAGCTTATGCCACAATACATTTGTCAATCTCTGATGTGCCACTTTGTTTTCTGCAAGAGACTCATATGGCAAAAGGAATGATCAAGAAGTATCAAGACTTGATCCAAACAGTTATTACAGAGACCAAACGAAATGGGTAAATAAAGGGTGACTTGATTAAGATGTTGTGCAATTCAGACAGTTGCACAGAGCAACCACAACAGCTGTACACAGAGTAAGGTAAAGCAGATATTGCCAAGAAAGAAGCAATGATGGACAGAGAACCCAGAAGTCTAAGATAGCCTCGTACACAGTACATCAGCCAAGTCATGGTACGTTAGGTTAGTCCTAACTGATTTTATCTTTATGTTTTGTAACCTTATTGCACACCTCTTAGGGGCTATGGTGGTAAGCAGTACATAAATTGCTGAAATAAAGAAAATAAGCCTACTCACTCATTCCAAACATCTGCAGTAAAGGTCGCAGTGAGCAGGACCGTTAGATTCTCATGGATAGTGCTCAAAAGGATGCTTGACAATGACATTTGACAATGATATAAACTGTTCCATTTATCCTGGAGTTTAGGAGTGGGCAGATATGTGGAGAGTAAGTTACAAAAGGCATGTAGACAAGGTGGGGGGAGGGAAAGGGGAAAGTTCAGCTTTCGGAGACCTTTTTCAAAAGACCTATGAGAAAGCATCCATATTAAGGGGGTGTGCATAAGGGATTAAATAAATGATGTTGCAATTTGCTTGCAAATGAAACCCTTCCCTGAACTGCATTTAATCGTGTTGTACTAACTCCTGATATTGCCCCTTTATTCTTAGGGAATGCTCTGGCCCCTTTGGAAATCCTGAGCCAGGCCACTGAATACATCTGTCATAAGTGTTGGCCAATGCACACCTACACACTCACACACAAATACGACAAAGCTGTGTCCATCTATTAGGGAGAAAAATGACGCAATATCATTTCCTAGTCACTGTGCTAGATGGCTGCAAGGGGAAACGGGCCTGCTTATAAGAGTGTATAATAAAAAAGACAAAATGTGCATACATTAGGAAAACAAACCTTGCCAAACATCTATTAATATTTTTCCCAAGGAAAAATGACTTACTGAAGAGCCCACAAGGACAGCTGAGGTACATCGTTCTTTCTTTTCACAAAATATCCCTGTACATAAAAACTGATGTGATTACTTGCTAAATCTAATAAGTTTCCTTTTCTTTTTTCACTCTTGCTCCTTAATGTGCAATAAAAATATAATGAAAAACATACATTTATTCAATGTGGCAGCTACTGCATATTCCACAAAGGCATAATCCTATAAAGTTTAATTTCACAGTGTTTCTTAAGCCTGTTTCCTTCTTACTTGCCACATACTTAGGGTAATAGTGAAGGAATATCATATTTTAACATGATGCTTTTGTTCACTCACATTAGCACACACACCCCAGACACACACACCTTTCTACTCATTGCTTCTTTCATGCTACAAAGGTGCAAAATAGACAGAGAAGAAAATCAATTTGGTGTCCTGCAGCGTCTTATTATGATTGGAGGCCAAAATGTTTGACTCCTATTTTAGAGATTGCTTTTGGAGAGTCACGTTGATTCCCTCCCTCTCCTTTTAATTTCGGATGCCTTTGATGATATTTTAACACAGTTCTCTTTGAGGGGGTTTCCCCATCCGACGGTGATTAATTCTTCAAGCTCCATTCTGTGTTGAGCAGAGCCACCAATAAAATAAAATACATTGCAGAAGTCTGCCGCGAATGTGGAGTTGCAGGAAAGGGTGGGATTTTTCACAACACCAGCTTCTCCCACACCAACCCCTTTTAACTGCTGTTGACACTCTTGTTTCATAGTCCAGGTAACACTGGTGACAGCAATTATTCTCCCAGGTTGGGATCTGTTTACTTGCACAAGGCTGCAGGCAAAGATTACAACGTATTGCCCTCACTCATCATTCCATGGCAATATTCTATTCACAAACTGCCTCCATTCATGCGTAGGCCAAGGGCAGATCTACGCTATACATGAAAAGCATATTCAACACACATTTAAAGCATTTGACTTCCCACAAAGCATCATGAGAACTGTAGCTTTCACTTCATAGTGTGGCCATTTCCAGCAACCTTAACAAACTGCTACTCTCAGGGTTCTTTGGGGAAGTAATGTAATTTAAATCATGTTGATGAATGAGGACAATGCTTTGTAGTTTTTAAAGGGAGAGCAGGACTGGGGCTACTTGCTTTTCCTCCAACATTGTCCACCCCACCCACCTCAAGGCCCATGCATTTGGTGTACATCTGAAAAGGGGAACCTACATCTTGTAGGCTGTCCACAAAACCTGCACTTCTGGGGTTCCCAGTTGCATGGGCATCCTCTGTACATATAGAGCCAGTGTGGTGTAGTGGTTAAGAGCGGTAGACTCGTAATCTGGGGAACCGGGTTCGTGTCTCCGCTCCTCCACATTGCAGCTGCCTTGGGCTAGTCACACTTATCTGAAGTCTCTCAGCCCCACTCACCTCACAGAGTGTTTGTTGTGGGGGAGGAAGGGAAAGGAGAATGTTAGCCGCTTTGAGACTCCTTTGGGTAGTGATAAAGTGGGATATCAAATCCAAACTCTTCTTCTTCCTGAATTTCATATTTCCCCAACAGCCCAAGCTCATTTGAATATATTTTACTTTATGAACAATCAAGGTAACTCGTTTTCACATTTCAAAGCTGCTTCATAGGTCCAAGGAACCATGTAAACATCCCAATAATTCTGAGGTTAACAAAAGATATAAGATAACGCTGAACCCTAGATGATGATGATGATGACTTCTCAGTGCTGGAATTCTGCATCAAAGATAGCACTGCTCTTGAAGCGGTAATAAGTTTACGGAAGATGGGAATGGACAAACGGAGTTTTCTATCTACAAGATGCAAGTGGCAAAATGAAAGCAATTGATTCAAACCAAATCTACATGTGCTAATCTGTTTCACATGACAGAACATCAGATGGGTGCCTGAGCTACTGACTGCTGGAGACTGAGCAAATGCTGCCAAAAAAAACCTGAGCCATGTTCCAACAAGTGGCAACAACCAACCAGCAAGGAAATTAGTTGGCTATAAATTTCTTCTTGTCTTGCTATGATCTTTCATAGAGATGGGGAAGAAATTGGATCCAGGGCACATTCAAAGGCAAACTTAACAAATTCACAATTTCTGAAACAATATGCAAACTGAAAACAGCTATGAATACAAATTTACACTTGCCCAAATTTTGCAATGCACTTTTGCAGGCTAGTAACACGTACAAAAATGTGCACTACGGTAAAGTCTGCACGTGAATGGATGTTAGTGAAAATAACATACAAAATGCATTCTGCTAGGGAAAATCGCTTCAGAAAAATCTGTATAAAAATGTGTAGAGTAGGAGGAATTTGCACCAGAAGGCTGATGAATTTTCATGAAGACTTTTTAAATTGCAAACAGATGTGGAAATGTAGAGAACTGAACTGAAGACTGGAAAAGGGATAAAGGGATTCTAAGCCTCAGGTTCTCGTGTCAGCTCCCAGGACTCATCAGCCCTGACATTCAGTTACTCTGAGTAAGGATGTGGCAAGAGGGGGAGCAAAGCTATAGCATATCCCTAACTTGCAGCTTCCTGGGCCAGTGTTGAAATGTTCCTTGCAAATAAGTGGAGCGGGGGCAGGATCTGGCTTCTAGGAGTTTGGTTTTGTAGGAATGTGTGAAAGAGATGAGTGGGGTGAACATTTCCCCACTGTGGTTGTTGTTGTTTAGTTGTTTAGTCGTGTCCGACTCTTCGTGATGCCATGGACCAGAGCACGCCAGGCACGCCTGTCTTCCACTGCCTCCCGCAGTTTGGTCAGACTCATGTTTGTACCTTCGAGAACACTGTCCAACCATCTCGTCCTCTGTCGTCCCCTTCGCCTTGTGCCCTCCATCTTTCCCAACATCAGGGTCTTTTCCAGGGAGTCTTCTCTTCTCATGAGGTGGCCAAAGTATTGGAGCCTCAGCTTCATGATCTGTCCTTCCAGTGAGCACTCAGGGCTGATTTCCTTCAGAATGGATAGGTTTGATATTCTTGCAGTCCATGGGACTCTCAAGAGTCTCCTCCAGCACCTTAATTCAAAAGCATCAATTCTTCGGCGATCAGCCTTCTTTTTGGTCCAGCTCTCACTTCCATACATCAATACTGGGAAAACCATGGCTTTAACTATACAGACTTTTGTTGGCAAGGTGATGTCTCTGCTTTTTAAGATGCTGATTTCCCCACTATGATCAGTTAAAAATTCTCCTGAAGCTCCAGATTTGAGATTGCTATAATGTTTCAGGCAGAGTGTTTATATGCTGGTCCCTGGTTTCCCAGGAGGTGTTGTGGGGGGTTGGGGTTGGGGGGGATGATTTGTCTTATTAGCCCAAGTATGTCCACCTTGACTGCATTATAGGTTTATCCTGTCTTTCGCAATAGGAAATTCCATTTCTTGGGGTTGAATGGATACACCTTCCATGGGGGACTGGGTAAATCTTTTGTTTCTCCAGTTCTGTCAATTCCTGCACCATTGTGACATACCAAAGTGGATAGCAAGGCCTCCTGGCTCTAGAATCCATGCCAATATGTAACGGGGTGATTCCCAGCATGCTTTCCTGGTGTCTCCATTTCCCACTCCAGTGCTGAAGCTAAGAGTGAGTTGCCATGTTACAATTAACACTAGTAACAGCAGTAACAGAAGTGTCTTATGCAACATGTTAAAAATCTCAAATTTCATAGTATAGCATGCACATCCCCACCCAGAGACCCACCCATCTGATGATGTTACCATGCTAGAGTGTGATCTGAAATGTAGGCGGTCCCACCTCTCCATCACTTGAGCTGATAAACGGAATAAATGAATGCAACACTTCCATGAATTTATCTCATTCAATTTCCCCACTCTTACATTTTTATATTGAGCAGGTAGTCAGCTGAGCTGGGAACATCCAGAGCAGGATCTCTGAAGAAGAACTCAAGCCACAAGCAGGTACTGTATATGTGCAAGAAGATGATTTCTCAAGTATCCTGGTGCCAAGCCATTACAGACTGTAAAGGTTAAGTCCACCATTTTGAATGGATTAGGAACCAATGAAGCTGACATAATCTGACTGAATCTCCCAGTTTCAATTAATTATCTTGCACCCCTGTTTTGGACCAACCCTAACGTGTAAAATGATAATCAATTTAAAGGCAACGGTGGACTTTAATTATATGCAGAAAGCAGGGAGGTTGTGTAAGGCCTGTGTGACTTGAGACCATAATCAAAATGTCATCAGACTGCCTCTTGTACTTTCTACCTTGCAGGAAATTGACTCTGCTCATGTTGCAATATAAGATTAATTTGAATGCCTCTATCAAAAGCATGGCATTTGGTTAATGTCAGATATCACCTCCACTGTCATCTGATATTTTCCCCTGGGGACTCACTTTACTAATGACTTAACCAGAGAAGCCACTGGAATGGAATGCCTAAAAGGGGGGGGGCAAGAAGTTCCCATAGAATTGTGAGCACATAGGAGCAAATTTATTTTTTACAGCATATTTGTTTGTTTTTACGAAAAATTAAATTGAATTTTAATAACGAAAAGAAAGTTATAGGGAAAAAAGAAATGAAATAAAAATTAGGGGTTTTTGGGGGGGGGTGTTTTTTGAAAAAATATATATAGAAATGTTGCCACAATTGCAAATAAAGAAGCCTAGGATACAACCTAGGAAAAAGAGATGCCATCAGTCTATTAGAATGGCAATGGCATCCACCTGAGAGGTGCCAGAACTGAGTTCTGGTGATCTCTGGCTGAAAAAAAGCCCTGGATACAACTATGTGATTTACCAAGTCAATCATAAAACATACTGAGAGGGAAATATTGATCTATAAGGACAAGGGGTTCCATGAACGTGTCCAGAGGAGGGCAACCAAAATGGTCAAAGGCCTGGAAACGATGCCTTATGAGGAACGGCTAAGAGAGCTGGGCATGTTTAGCCTGGAGAAGAGGAGGTTAAGGGGTGATATGATAGCCATGTTCAAATATATAAAAGGATGTCACATAGAGGAGGGAGAAAGGTTGTTTTCTGCTGCTCCAGAGAAGCGGACACGGAGCAATGGATCCAAACTACAAGAAAGAAGATTCCACCTAAACATTAGGAAGAACTTCCTGACAGTAAGAGCTGTTCGACAGTGGAATTTGCTGCCAAGGAGTGTGGTGGAGTCTCCTTCTTTGGAGGTCTTTAAGCAGAGGCTTGACAACCATAAGTCAGGAGTGCTCTGATGGTGTTTCCTGCTTGGCAGGGGGTTGGACTCGATGGCCCTTGTGGTCTCTTCCAACTCTATGATTCTATGATTCTATGATGATCTCACTTAAAACAAGTACACTTTTTTATTTCCAAAAAGAAGATTAAAAATAACATTGAAATATACTAAATCCAGACACTTGCATAGACCTGTGGTAACCGATGCTCCTGAGCTGCTGTATTTGTGTATGTATGTGTCAGGGAACTGACAT